TATATATATATATATATATATACACTGTTTTACTATATAAAACAGTATATATATATATATATACTGTTTTACTATATAAAACAGATAATCAACAAGGACCTACTGTATAATACAGGGAACTTCACTCAATATTCTGTAATAAACTAGGAAAAGAATTTGAAAAAGAATAGATATATGTATAACTGAATCACTTTGCTGTACACCTGAAACTAACACAACATTGTAAATCAAATATAATCCAATATAAAATAAAAATTTAAAAAAAAACAGCTTCACTAAAAGACCACCATATTTGTTACTTGAAATTCATTTGCTAAACCTCTATATAGCATTTGATTTTTTTTGTCTTTTTCCAACCAATCCACAAGTTACATTTTGTGATTTCTATACATCTGTTATACAGATAAGGTTATTCTGTCACTCTTCAAAAAATGCAGCTGCTATAGAAATTTAGCTAAATATGTTAAGTATAATACCACAAAAATGGGCTTAAAAATACCACCGTCAACAAAGGAAATGACGTACTTTGCAATGCTATGACAAATGAAAACAATTAAAACAATCTGACAAAAAAATATTTTTAAACGTATCTAATAAAACAATATGCAAGATGTCAAGAGCTCTGACTTTGAAACTCAAAATTAAAAAAGAACTTTTCTAGCTAGTTTGTGATGTATGCTTTTTAAAAATCAAGAAACAGATTAAGAATCCTGCACGCTACCATCTATACCCCAGAAAATCATTAAGGAACAGTTTAATTTGGTTGCAAGATTCTTTATTTTGTAAACTATACATAAACAGTAAAAAAGAAAATGCATTTTACCTTAAATATTACATAAAGTTAACATTAAAGATTTTTTTCTTAGTGTATATAAATCAGATGGAAAGAATCCAACAACTTTATTTCAGTGGATTGTATATACTGGGAAACCAGCTGACCCACTGTTTAAATGGTGACACCAGTGTGTAACACCCAACAGGTTTTTCCACTTTCATTATGGGCACAAAACCACGGGTCTGATATCCTTAAAAGCGATGGTGTACCAGAAGGGCTACATGATTAATTAACATGCTAACTTAAATACAACAATTAAAGTAAGTTTTGTTGCAGTTAAATCTTAAATGCTACTCCACACAATAATCATAAACAAGTCCACATGGTAACTATGTAACAGTAGAAAAAAGAAAGAAAGCATTCTATTTTCTTCATTCCAGCAGCAGTACCGGGACTGGTATTAATTCGTGATTAGGTGTGCCTATCTATGCCTAATGTCCTATGTGGGGATGCATGCTGAAACCTTTCTATTTCTATTTTGCAAGGCACCATACAGTATGTTCTCTAAGTTTCGACACTAGTAACAAAAATGGCATAATTCTTAGATTAAATGCAAATATTTATCTAACATAGGAAATAAAATAAGAATGAAGATTTTTAAGTTTGATATTGGGGCAAATGACAAACTTTTTGTAAAAATATGGTTTAAAAGAATCTTTCCCTTTGTCTTTCTACTTTAAGTTCTGCACCCTAAGTTGCTGGTCAGAAAGATAAAGAAACCTAGAAAGATAAAGAAATCATGCTGGTTAAGATTATCAAACAAATCAACATAAGACTGCTGTCTAAATTAAAATAAAAATTAGAAAGGACAACTACGTTTTTAACTTTCAAAATCCACGGTTTTTCCCTACTGGCCATTTTGTAAGATATCTGGTCACATCCAGAATAACTTCAGAACTAAAAACATCACTAAAACTTCATAAGTAAAAACACACAAACGTGGTGGAGGTCTCCAGGATGGTGACTTCGTTCTTCTCACTTTGTGCTATTCCCTCACTCACCTCTATATCCCTCCAGCTCTGGGAAGAGTCTACTTGGAAACTGCAATTAAGGTCATGCATATTTTTATAAAATCCTTAGGATCCAGGTCACTAGTATGTTATTGTAGATTCAACTTAAGAATTTCTCCCAGAAAAATATCACCTATGACCTCAAGCACTGGTTGTTTTGTTTGTGGCAGACTCACAGAGATCAGTAGCTCTTCATAATTTTCTCTTGTCTGGCTAGACTCCATATGTGTTCTCTTTTTCATATAAAAACTCAAAGTAAATGCTATTTCTCTAAACATAAAGTTCTATGACTTTAGTTGCAATATTTGAAATAATTATACAAAATATAAGTGAGTTTTAGAATCATTTTGTTTTGGGGCAGGAAGGTACTCCTCAGTAGGGGATCACCTGGTAAATAAAAGAAACATAGAATTTGTTGCTCTCAGCTCTCATCCATCAGATGTATCCATCCTGGTCACCACCATCATCATCATCCCCTTCATCCTCATCATCATCTTCAATCTCATCTTCATCGTTCATAATGTCATCTTCATCGTCATCAGTAGCCCATTCACGGAAATCTCCACTTGCAAAATCTCCAGAGATCTCAAAATCAATAGCTTAGGAAAAAAGTAAACATTAATGTTATGTGACTGAGTGGTAGGATAATTTCTGAGGGTCAGAAAATTCTGATGAAAATTTAGGAAATTAATAAACTGAGTCACTTTGCTGTATACCTGAAACTAACACAACATTATTAATCACCTATACTCCAAGAACAAAAAAATTTTTAAAAGATAAATAAAATAAAATTTTAATTTGCTCTTTAGCTTTCTTAACAAAAATAAGGTAAAATCCATTCTTTCTCATTTGTTAAAATATACAGTGCTAAAAAGCGGAATTGTTGCTGAGGTCTGATATGTACGATTTCCAGTTCAGTAATATTGAGCTCAGCCCAGGTTTTATAAAGTCCATGTCAAACTTTGAATTTTACGAAGAATTGAGAACTTCTTCTTTTAGTGTGTAGGCAAAATAGTTGCCCCTCAAAGACGTTCACTTGCTCATGGCTGAAACCTGTGACTGTGTGACCTTACATGGTAAAGGGGCTCAGGAGATGTGATTACATCACGGGCCTGGAGCTGACAGGTTACTGTGGGTAACTGGGGTGGGCCCAGGTGATCACCTGCATCCTTAAAATCAAAGAACTGTTTCCAGATGAAGTCAGAGGGCGGTGTGATTACAGAAGGACAGTCAGAAGCTGGGCCAAGGAACGTGAGTGGTCTTGGGAGAGGACAGGGCCAGGAAACACTGTCCTCGGGAGGGAGCCTCAGAAGAACCAGCCCTGAAGACACCTTGACCTTAGCCTGGAGAAGCCCATGCTGGACATCTGATGTTCAGAAGTGCAAGATCACACATCTGTGTGGGTTAAGCCACTAACATTGAGGGATTTTGTTGCCATAGCAACAGAAAACTAACACAGCCAGTAGGTATTTTAAAAAATGTTTAGAAATTTATAATGACTATGGAGGCAATAATGCACACATATCTCAGAATGTAATCATTTCCCAACTCTCCTAGTACCAGTGTGTTTATTTTCTACCCTTTCTAATATTTTGGTCTAATAATTCTTTGGTAGCTAATTATAGCAAATCCTATTAATGTCCTCCAGTGCTTATGAACTGATTGATTTCACAATACAACACACTGAAGTTCGTATCTTTTGTGAAGAAAATGTTATTCGTACTCTTCTACTTCTTGTATTTTCTTAATAATTTCAACATGCCGAGAAAACTCACAAGTCACATTCCCAAAACCATTTCCCTGTCACCTATTGAATTCATCTCCATATAATTATTATTTATAAAATAAACATCTGAAATTCTTTATCCATCACGGATAACTGAAATAACTGATAGTGCAACTCATTCAAACTATGTGTTACAAAGCTGTGTTCTCCACGTGTAACAAGTATGTAATGTAGCTATTGAGTACTGTACTCCATCGTACGGAATCTGAAAACACTGGCCGAAAGCCAAAACCAAGCTATTAAAAGTGTTGTGGAATAAATAAATGCAGAACAGGCATTTAAGCATTAAACGCGATTGTTTTTATATACCGTTTACCATTTATCTATTTCTAAACAATCACAGTGTATCAGTTTAAAAATTGCATAAAGGAGAAAGCTAAACATTTTCTGAAATACAAGACTGACCAAGTACTTTGTTTACATTTTGGTCATTTGTATTAGTTGAAACATAATCCACTAATTCCGTCTGTGTGTGTGTGTGTGTGTGTGTGTGTGTGTGTGTGTGTGTACAGCTAAGTGGCTTTTGTAGTGAAAACTCTCCACAGTACAAACAGAAATACTCACTTGAAACCTGCATTCTGAAAAAATATTTCATGAAAGACAAAAGACATCCCACTTAAAACTTTACAATGTGTGTGTTATGCTCAACTTAACTGTAATATTATTTTTTTAGGTTTATATGTAAAATGCATGCTCAGAAAAAGAACTAGAATATTAATTATAATTACCCTTCAAACAATTAAAACTATATTTTCTCACCCAAACATAAGGAAACATGCTCACACAGCTGCAATTTATGGACCTTTACTTTAAAAAGGTTACTTTTTCTTTCATTGGTGCTCCCATGTTCTCCCTGAGTGACCTTCTCCAAAGGCACACAGATGGGAGGGTGCTGTGTGGTGACACGGCACCCACCAGGGCCCGGTGACCGGGCCCAGGATGGATGACACAGTCTGCCTTACCCGAGAGGAACACGGAAGGCATGTGACATCCTTCCTGTACTTGAAGGAGTAAAAGCGGCCCACCTTTCATTATTCTTCCTTAAAATATCTAAGTTATGCAGTTCTACTTGTTAGTTATACAACTTTTTCTAACATGCTAGGAGTGAGCCTTCCCGTCCGCCCCCCCGCCCAGTACACTCCGTAGGGTTTGCATAGAGTTGGGCAGAGAATGCGACTCTCCAGCACTTATCCTGCGGGGGAGAAATCGTGGCATGCGCGGCCCTCCTCCTTACCACAGTCTGCTGCACCGCGCCTCCTGGACCCCACGACTTCCCTTCCATATCGGTCCACACACCAGCACTGCCCAGCGCTGCCGTGGCACTGCGTCGGCTTGTAGTAACCATCTGCGTCACACTGGGGGACGTACTGTCCTGTGAGACACGCACATGTGGTAGGAACAAGGGTCACCGACCATGCACTGACTCACTCAAGACACACACATACGAGCTCCGGCTCCAGGCTACGAGCTACGGTGCAGGTAGAACAAAGCAGGCGCTGTCATAGTGAACCTCTTGCATTTCTTCTGTTGAGCAAATTTACTGTCTTGTCTTTTTAATCACTCTGCAGAGGGGGCTGTTTCCAGACGTACAATATACGGAATGAGAGCTGATGAACGCCATGCATGGTAAGTCACCCAGACCGCTCAGCAGGGCATATGAGACCCTTCACCGTCTCATCACTGCCAATTTTTGACTTTCATCTCCCCAAATTTTCATTCATGTATCCTCAGCTCTTTCCACATCAAGCTGTTTTCTACAAATGCAGTCCTGCTTCATCTCTCTATGCATCTTCTCCTCACCTGGAATCCCTCTCCTTCCCTCCCTCTTGCAATGTAAAACTTGACTGAAATGTGACCCCCTTCTCTTAGGCTGGAGGGTTTCTGATATATTTCTTCCATCGTGTATGTCTCTCGGTGCATGCATTCACCACTACTCTGTGGTATCCTCTGTATTGGGAACTTTCGCTTCTCTTGATCTTGATGGCTATACGAACAACTCACGCTCAGTCTAGCGGGAAGCTAGACACTTAGTTTCATAATATAATATCTAACATGTACCTGGCACACTGCTAGTGTTAAGTGTGCAATAATAATTGAGAGGTGAATTCACATTCTTCAATAAACACTCCCACGCTACAGTGTAAGCTTTAGGAGATTAGACAATTTTCTTGTCTTTCCTGACCAACTGTCTGCTCAGTGACCAGATACACTATAGTTACTTGGTGAAAGAAAAAAGGAAAAACAATGACTAATAAACAGATAAAACATGAAACTGTTCCATTTAGTCCTGCAACAATATGCGATCATTATTTAACCCTTTAAAAAAGCTTCAAAATTCTGATATACAAATAATCAATTTAGTTTGAAAATTATAATTCATTTGAAGGATTTGAACTTCTGGTCTTCGAGTGAGGTGGACCGGATATCACCAATATGGGAAACTCGAGAACACCTTCTGTGGATATATAGCAGGAAAGATAAGGAAGATTTTCAATATTATTATCTCTACCTCTTAAAAAATACCATAATTTGACATACTTGACATAAAAATGTTAAGATGGACAGTTAGTGTGGCCATGTAATTTGTTGTCTCCGCCAGTACACTTTGGAAACAGAAGAGCATTATTAGGAATTAGCCTAGAAATGCAGACACCAAGACAGCTTGCAGCCTGGATGCATCGCACCTGCTACCGCATAACAGTGGACAGACTGTCAGAGAAGGACACTTTCCCACCCATTTCAGAAGGAATATTGAAGGGTCAGTGCTCTCTAGTAATGACTTTCATTTTTATTACGTAAGATGAATAAAGATGACTCCTCTCAATTGGGCTCTAAATATGTTTTCATTTTATGTAACATCAAATAATCAAAGCCTGGATGTTAATAGCTTTTTGTCACTAATAGACCTTGACCAAGTCGAAGATGTTTTCCCGTTGAATGTCAATGGCTTTTCCCAGTGCACATGAGTGAACTTCGATTTGTAGAAAAAAACAAACCCAGGTACCAAGGTAACGTTTCCACCTGTGAGCTGGAAAGGTGCATCTTGTAGCAGAGTTAAAAGAAACGTGATACATTGTAGCTTTTATCTAATGATGTGGCTTCACATCTAAAATGCTGTATTAAAAAATTTAGTCTATTTATTTTGAACTGTGAATTTTCAAGTAATATGAAAAATCTTCTCATATAAACATACAATATTGTAATTACAAAGACAGCATATTATAATACAGATTAATCAGATCTAAAACACACATGAAAAACAAGTGTTGCATATGTGGTGTTCTACACTGTATGCTAAAATAGAAAAAAGGACATGTGTGGACAAACTTGTGAAATCCACATCAAGTGTGAGGCTTAAGTAATAGGATTATAGCAATGTTAATTTCTTAGATTTGATAAATATATGATAGTTAATCTATACATGGTAAGATGGTAACTTTAGATGAAGCTGGGTGAAAGATACATGGAAACTCTACTGTACTTATAAAATTTCTGAATCTAAAATTATCCCCAAAAGAGTGTATTGAAAAATTGTATGTTGACAAAAATAAAGAAAATAATCATATGTGATAGTTTAACAATCAGTTAATAGCCAAGCATTCTAATATTTCAAGGCTTTGGGTGAAATTTGGAATTATCTATGTATCTGTTTATCATCTAATACATACATTTACTTAGTAAAAGTAAGTTTATAAAAAGTGCTGATGAGAAACTAAAAAATCTGTTCCAATTTTCCTGAGGAACTCAGCCCATGCTTTTAACCATCTCTCTCTCCCTCCCTCTCTTCCCCTCTCTCTACATACATACATACCATCAATTTGTGAACTGTCAACCACAGAGTTAGAACCGAAGTTTCTGCTGCTTTACCTTTAGCATTGTTTAAATTTCTTTTTTACTTAATAACTTTCAAAGTGACCATTATATTAGGGTAATAAAACAGACATCATACCTTTCAATAGGTAAGATAATAAAAGTAAGGCTAATGACTTTCAAAAACGTCATAAATTTTGTTGCCGAAATTTAGTGAGGTCCCCGTTTGTTGCATAAATATCGATTTTGTGTTGCTGTTTCCTGAGGGTTATTTATGTAAGCAGTAAAGGTGTCAGAGAGTGATCCACAACTCACCGAGGAGCTTCTTCACCCCGAGCCGCTTCTGAATACTGCCGAGCTCTGTCTGGCAAGGTGGGTCTGCAACGGCATTAATGTCACCTCAATGGTTATAGGTAAACAAAGAGGGGGTGATTTTTATGTTACCAAACCTTAGTTAGATTTACAAGGCTTTAGAAGACACGCTACATATCAACTGCTTTACTTATGGAGACACATACAAGTAGATACGTATACATGTATATACACACACATCCATCTACACCTATCTCTATGCCTACAGTACATCTGCACCATCATGTACATCTACATGTATGTCATCTACATCTACATCATCTACATCTACATCCACACCTATATCTACATCGTCTACATCTACATCTGCACCTACATCTACATCATCTACATTTACACCTACATCTACATCATCTACATCTACATCCACAACTGCACCTACATCATCTACATATACATCTGTATCTACATCTACATCATCTACATCTACACCTACATCATCTGCATCTGCACCTACATCTACACCTATATCATCTACATCGACATCTGCACCTACATCTATATCATCTACATCTATACCTACATCTACATCTACATCATCTACATCTGTACCTACATCTACATCTACAACATCTACATCTGCACCTACATCTATATCATCTACATCTATACCTACATCTACATCATCTACATCTACATCATCTACATCTGTACCTACATCTACATCAACTATGTCTACATCTACACCTACATCTACATCTATATCATCTACATCTGCACCTACAACTACATCATTTACATCTACATTTATGTCTACTTCTCTATAGAGAGGCTTTTCTACTTATTGTTTGATTATCTTAATTTCCTCAGAATGACAGAATTGGATGAAAGAAAGGAGAATGGTATAAAATACTTATAGGATGGAAAATGGTTCTTTTCATTGACTTTTAAAAGGTCAGTCAACTCTTTAATGTAAATACAACTGACAGGTTGCTTCCCAAACTAACTGATTTTGTTTTCCCTCATTTAAAACAGTTTCTACGATCAAGAGAAACAGCTTCACATTGAAACATAATCTAGGAAAACGTGAATGCTTCCAAGTTGTTCAGAGACACTGTTATAAATTTTGATACTGAATAACACTGACAGGCTTCAGTCTTTTCAGTTTAACCCACATGTTTGCAGTATATACCCAATATGGAAACAGGATGTAATATACAATAATTTCTGAGAAGCCATCTTTAAAAATAATAAACTTAGAACATTAAACCAATTTGGAAATAAGTATATGCCTATTTTTCAAACTCTTTAAAACCACTTAGAAGGAGATTAGTTTCAGAGAAGTACAAAATTCTAAATAGACATAATATAGTCTGGCTTATTATATTTAATTATATATTTTCTAATATATATACATATTCTTATCTGAAAACAGTTCAATGTACTTTAGACTCTTATTGTAAAAACTTGCTGTTAATACTTGCTATATAAAAACTGTACCACAAACTACTGAAACAGCAAAACAATAAACTAGTACTTGCTCCACTACAACTTTTTTAGTGAAAAGGCAAGATATAATTCAAATAATTTAAGAAATTTTTACCAAACCAAGCTCACAATATGCAATTATTAAATTTGCATGTAAGCAGGAGAGTGGAAAGAGACCATGAGACAAACAACTTAGTATGTATTTTACAGTTTAATATGTCAGGCCAACAATGCTTTTCCTGGAGGAATCAAAAATGTGAAGAAAAAGTAATTTGCTTGAAAAACCTGATTACCTTATTGTCCTACTTCACGCTGATACCGGCTCAACTGACCCCTTTGTTTTTTCTAATAATGTGTGAGTCTTATATTATTAACAGAATAGGAATGAAGTTGCATAATATGGGCTTATAGAGTAGACGTAACATTTACTGCCCCCCAAATATGACATTTAAAACCAAGAGGAAAGATTCTAGCTGAAGTTTCAATACTACATTGAAAGCAACTCTTCTCACTGCTATGGGACAGTTATTGTAAGTAGAAGCGATATTTCTCTTATCTTCCTGTGGGATTGCCCGAAATCAGGCACGTCTGAGTCTGACTCTCCCTGAATAAACCTGGGGCAGCCACAAACTGTGTGTAGGGGAACCTGCCAGTTTTCGAGAGAAGTCATGACAGATTGGGCTGTTCCACTATATACAGTACTGGATTGAGAATATCTATCCTGTGCTCTGTCTGGCCTTTGACTCAGGTACACTCGGAGGGCGTGACTGAGATTTCGCCTGTCATTAAACTCTCTTGCAAACAACCGATGTAGATGAAAGGGCAGTGAGGTGGCAGAGTGCGTGAAGGTTTGGACACGATTAGGCACAAGTTTATACACAAGATTTATTTCCCCCAATCTAATGGTGATTTGACTTTATGGAAAATTCTGATTTTATATGCTTAAAATTGTATGAAAATCGTGAGTTATAAAATATAGGCTTTAATGTAATCATTAAATTTACAAGTAGTTATTCCCAACAGTAGTTTTAAAAAATAAGAAAAAAAAAAAAGAATTAAAATCTTTTACTAGTTAATTTCAAAATGCTGTTTTTTAAAAAATTAACATTGTTCATTGTTTTGCATTCTGAATTTAAAACCTCAAAGCCTTATATTGGAACCATTCACACATTATCTATATTATGAATGGATAACTGTCAACGCAATGATAACAATGCATTTTTATTTTCCCACACAATTTTGAACTGAATAAAATGTCACTGGGAAAAATAAATAAGGAAATATCTCTATGTTTACAACAGTAATATACAAAGGTGTTCTTTCTATCCTCACAACTAGTTATTTCTAGGGAGTATATTTCTATTAGCTGTCAAATATAGAGATACAAGGTGATGTCAAAACTGCTAAAAAGGTAGACATTGCAGAGGTGTGTGCGTGACCCAGTGGGTGTCACACACACCTGCAGGCGGTGCCACCTCCCTGCAGGGAGGGCACCCGGACCAGCTCAGCCTCTTTCTCAGGAGGCCTCTGCCCAATCGCTTTCCTTCATGGAGCCTCTCACAGAATGGATATACTTAAATAACTTTATCAGGTTTACTTTGTGCAAGTTTCAAATATTCACAATACCAAAGGACAACATTGCCTGTATTTAATATCTTTCATTAAATTAAAGAAAAACATCCTTTGTAAAACTAATGCAGATGACGCCCGTTCTGACATTTCCTCCTGTGGCTGGAAGGCATAAACGACCTCGAAAGATGCGACTGTTCTCACTGTCGTCCCATCGGGTGTATCACTGGCCGGGGTCCTGCCCTGAACAGGATTTGCCAGCAAGCTGCCTAGGGGCGTCTCTCAGCATTTTATGTATGAGGACTTCGCAAAGTCTGAATGTAAAGGTAAAGGAGATGCAAACTACTATCAATGTATACAGGTTGGATAAACAACAAGGTCCTACCGGAGAGCACAGGGAACTACATTCAATATCCCGAGATAAACCATAATTATGAAAAGAAAATGAAAAAGAATACACATCTATATCTACATATATCTGAGTCACTTTGCTGTACAGTGGAAATCAACACAACATTGTGAATCAACTAGACTTCAATAAAATTAAAAAAAAAAAAAGAGGTACAGCTGCTGGAGAAAGAAGTTCAGATCCCCGTCCCCTGCGCTCATTCTATAACACGAAGGACTTTAAGATCACTAAGCACCGTCCTCAGCTGTGGACGAGATTGTTACATTCTCACAGGGCTATATGAGGGATAAATGATTTTATGTGCCCGAAAGACGACATGGCCCTGAATAAATGTTAATTTACTTTCTTTTTCCTGGATCTTACACAACAGGACTTTAACTGAAACAGCAACTAATAAATTGAGGTACTTTTTTGAGTAGGGGCTTAAAATATATTTTATGAAAGTAAGTTATTAACACCTAAGGTAACAAAAATCCCAAATTAATATTTTTCCTACTTATTCTTTTATAAGTAATTAGAATGAAATCACACAAACCACCATCATATCCATTTTGTGTTGCTTAATTGTCATGATTTCAGAAAATCAGTCATAGAAACAGATATGCATTTTAACTAATTACAAGCTATTTTTAGGTTACCATTTTTTTCCCTTGGAAAACTACAAGTATTTCACTTGCCTGAAATTTTATATTCTCAACCTCATTTATTAAACTTTTGAAATTAAGCTTAATTTATTTTTGAAAGGTATTTTTTTTAAAAACAACACTATTACTTTATTTTTCAGATATTTTCCAACAACCATAAAACTATAGTCCTGATTGCAGTTTTAAGTCAACCTGGATTAATAACACCCCATTATACATTATTCTCTCCTCCTCTCTCTCTATATGTACACACATACACACACACACACACATATATTACTCTAATTATAATAAACTTAAGAATTTGTTGTTTTTAATTGAATAAACAGGAAAAACACATTCTTTATAAGGTGAAACATTTGAAAAAATGTTTTTAATGTTTATTCTTTTCCATGAAATTACTTAATGAGCTAACTCCATAGTCAGTTACCCTGATAGAGCTTTTGTAATATTTTCTAGCATATTAATGAATGGAATTAGCTAAACTCTCCTAAACATTTGGGAAGTTGTATAATCATTTAACCAGCTCAGGTATCATTTACTAAATTACCTCTACTGTGGTTTAAATAATCTCAGAGGATGTCTTCATGTGACTACGAAGATTTTGATACTTTGGAAGTAAGTATCAAGAATAATAAATGAAAAGTATACAAAGCAGAATCTTTTGGGGACCTTTAATCAGTTCTATGAATATTACTGCAAAATCTAGGAATGTTTTAAGGTAAAAATATTTAGTTCTGCAGTAGAAACATTCAGAGTTATTCAGAATATTTTAAAATGTTCATGTATAAACACTTGGACATGCTATCATAATAATCAAAGAAAAATTAAAATAACATGTGTCATCATAACAAAAGACCATGTCTCTTTATGGTAGTTTACCTGGATTTACTTTTTTATTCTGTAAATCAGCAGTCCCCAAACTTTTTGGCACCATGGAAGACAATTTTTCCACAGATGGTGGGGGGGAATGGTTCAGGCGGTAATGGGAGCTACGGTGGTGGGGGGATGGTTCAGGTGGTAATGTGAGCAGTGGGGAGCAGCTGTAAATACAGATGAAGCTTTGCTCGCTCGCCCACTGCTCACCTCCTGCTGTATGGCCCAGTTCCTAACAGGCCACGGACCAGTACTGGTCTGCAGCCTGGGGCTTGGGGACCCCTGCTGTAAATGATTTAAGGGTATACTAGTCATTAAAACCTGGGCAAAACTTTATAGGGGTATTCAGTCACCTAAAAAGCACATATGCAATAGTGTAAGTCAACAAGTGTGTGTTTGTGTCAGTATGTGAGTCTGTGTTTGTGAGTTTGTGTGTGTCTCTGTGCATGTGTGTGTGTGTGTATGATTTAGAATATCTTAACAAATCCAATCTACTTTTTAAACTGTGTTTAAAGTGGTTTATAAACACGTTAGTGGTTTAATCTATGCTACAAACCCTGCTGTTGACTCACTGCTAATCAATTTATGCATAAGCATGTCATCCCTAATCACTGAACTATTACTAATATATGAAAAAGTAATTGTGATAGTAAAATGACTGATATAATGTGCTGGCTTCCATATGAAAACCTGGGAATCATTAACACAGATTAGAGCAGCTTGTTCATTCTGGTAGCTGTCAAGGGCTTTAAAAGGCAGTGACGATAGCAGATGTATCATGTTAGACTAATTCCCAATTTGTTTTTCAAAATTAGCATCAAAGTTACACATGTCATCTTTTCTTAGTTTCCCCAAACTTTATCATAATTTGAATGTTTTGGGTCTATTTCCCTTAGACACAATTTTAGTTATCATTTGGCTGATTACATAAGCATGGCTTCAATTTTCCCTTACGTTACCGTTTCCTACTGAAGCAGGACCCATAAAGGACAAGCCTCATCCAACACTTCAGGCTGCCTCGCCTCTCCCGGGGAATCGAGACTCCTTCTTTGCTAGTGCATTTTCATAAAGCTAAGTTATCTAAAAAGTTTGAAAGGCTAAGTCATTTTAAAATCAAAAGTATAAAAATAACTTTATGGTGAATGCTGTGGTTCATTTGGCTCATTTAATAAGATCACAAAATAGAACATTAAAACTCCACAGCGCAGTGATAAAAAACCCATTTATTTTACACCATGGGCAAAGCAGATAGCAAATTAATTTAAATGATTACTTTTAATATCTCTGTTCTCATATCTCTGTGTTTCTTGGTGGTTCATAATGGAAACTATAATGAAGTGCATTAATAAAAAGTATTAATTACTATTTTTCACGTCATTTAGCGTGTTTTGCATCCCTGAGTTATACTGTTCAACGTGCTGCTTATTTGCTCTTTTATTAAACACTCTAATTGGAAAACTATTTCTCACAATGAATGGGGTGTCACATACTGGTTTTTTTTTTAATTGAAAAAAATTAAAAACAAATTTTCCTTGGAGTGTAGTTGATTTACAGCGTTGTGTTAGTTTCAGGTGTACAGCAAGGTGAATCAGTTATACACATGTACATATGTCCTCTCTTTTGTGGATTCTTTTCCCATTTAGGCCATTGCAGAGTATTGAGTAGAGCTCCCTGTGCTGTACAGCAGGTCCCTATCAGTTACCTATTTTATACGTAGTGGTGTGTGTATGTCAACCTCAGTCTCCCAATTCCCCCCCACCCCTTTCTCCCTGCGAGCCAAAAGGTTGTTTTCTGCACGTGTAACTCTGTCTCTATTTTGTAAATTGAGGACAGGGTACAAATGAGCTTGTCTGTAGTGCATGGCTTTACTGCATGGACAAGATGGCCTTTGGCTCAGTACCTTGTTGCCTCTGGAAGCAGTAGCACCACTCGTTGTTGGAGATGGAGCTGTCCTTGTACGTGTCACAGGAGCTGAAGAAGGCCTCGGCGCACCGCTCGTTCTTATCCAGGTAAATGCTCCCAAGCTCCGACTGGTCCAGGAGCAGGTCGTAGTTTGTATCAAGTCTGTTAAACATCCAGCCGAGTGAATCCTTGCAAATTGGCAAAATACTGGTATCAAATCCTAAAGGCAAAGATGGAAAGATATTAGCTAAACATGAAAGTTGCCATCAGCAGCAAGCAAAGTAAAGAAGTGTCACAGCGGGTTTGTAAGAACAAATCTGACTCCACGTTAGATCTGTTTCTTTTTCATTAACCTTTGTACTCTATTGCTTTTGCTACAGTTAAGAATGTTGCCTACAGCCTAACATACACAGGATAGCCCAGTTCTCAAGGCTCTGACCTTTAAGGGGGTAACGTTTTTCCATTCATATAGAGATAAAAAGTTGCCCAACAGAGAATAACATGTGTCTTGTTGGAGGTTTACAGGAACATCGTGACCTGACCTGCGTGGACAGATGCAAGAACAAGGATTCTGACACCATGAAGTTCGCAACAACCAGCCACGCCCCTCCCTCATCTGCCTTTAAAAATGCTTTGCTGAAACCCTTCTGGGAGTTTGGGTTTTTGGGGCATGAGCCACCCGTCGACCTGCTTGGCCCTGCAATACACTTTTCTCTGCTCCAAAATCTGACGTTTCGATTTGTTTGGTCTCACTGTGCGTCACACATACGAACGTGCAATCAGGTTCCTTACGGCACCTACTCAACAGTCAGAAGTCGGGCTTACATCCACCTTGAGTAACTGGTGTCAGAGTGAAGTGGGGTAGTAATATACGCCTCTCAGGATAGCTGTGAGAGTTAACTAACCAGAATGTAAGGCGTCTAGTACGAATCGGTCATTCATTCAGTGGCAGCTACTACTGTAATTATATATTACTTACTATTCTTTTTGTTGTTCAGGCTTTTTCTGAAATAAATAGGCTAGACGCATGCCTTGCTAGGTGGATATAGCTGTAACTGAATAATAATACCCTACTCGTAAAGAAATACAATTCATTTTTTATTCAAAGAAATGAAAATGCCCTTTGAACAAAAGTATAATTAACACATAATAAATAATAACTTCAATAACGCTCTGTATCTTGGTACAACCGTGGTGACCATGATAGTTCATAAGTAATATCCGGAGCAAGAAGAACCAGCAGGTACTTTACACACTGCTCTGTCTTCTGCTTCCCACAAGGCAACTTTTTAAGCACACAGCCACTAGAATTAGGCAGCAGGGTGCACTCGCAGCAGAGGCGCATCAGAGCCACACACCATCGAAGTGTGGGTTACCCGGGTCAGCTGCTGACCTCGTGAAGGCCCGGTGTCCTAAAAAGCAGCAGATGCAACGTCAGCGTGTGAAGCGTAACTGAGAAATCTACTTTCAACTCTTCTTATCTGTCAGGTTTAAGCTACCTTGAACGCGGGTTTTGTCACCCGGTTTTTGTTTTATTTGCTACTTTTCATGCATTGCAAGTGAAAAATACAATACTCGCGTCACTGGTATGGAAGAGAGGGTGTGTTTGGAGATGATGGCTTTCTGAAGACCGAGCATCAGAAAGACTGAACCTTCAACGGCAGGGGCTGAGGAGCCGTTGAACCGTTTACGAGAGGAAACCCTCTCGGGGGTAGTGATGTGTATGTTCTAATAGTTACGTGCACTATCTTGATAATTTTAGTCTGTTAAAATTCGAGATGCAAGAATAAGTGCAGATATAGATATTGAAGGTTTCCTGTTCAAATCCTATCTAGCATTTTAAGGATACTTAGGATTAAAAATGAAACAGGACTTAAACAATTCATAATTTTACCACCTTTTCAGGGTTTATTTTACTAATAAATTCAGAGCATATTTAGTGCTTTCTACCTGTGCATCACTGTCCCGCAATGGGGGCCAAAGGTAAAGTGGTATTGTGACGCTTACATAAAAGCAGAGAGACAGAAATTCAGTGGTTTTCTCACTGTTTGTATTTTTCTTTGTAAAATTGTTTGTAGAGCCAAACAGAATTCTCCCAAACAAACAGACAGAGAGCAAACATGAACTGCTCAATTCCTATTGACTTTCCAGGTCTTGACCGAGGCTCTGAGAATGCAGGGTTCGAACATACAGACAAGATCCCATTCTCTTAGAGTTTACTTTGAAAACCAGCCTGGTTTGAGATATTGGTTGAAACTGCCTCTTACCACCCAAAGTTGTCAAATGCCCAGGGATTACATGAAGAAAGCAACTGCAGAAAAAGATATACTAAAGTCTGTAAAACCATTCAAAGAACCTGAGTTCGGGGTGTGAGATTCTGGTGTGCCTTGGACCCCACCCTTCCGTCCCCAGCTCATTTTAGGAGGCAATGGAGAAACTTAACTGCCTTCAGCAAGATCTTTTTTGACCCACCTCCTAGAGTAGTGAAAACAAAAATAAACAAATAGGGCCAATTAAAAGCTTTTATACAGCAAAGGAAACCATAAACAAAATTAAAAGACAAACCACAGAATGGGAGAAAATATTTGCAAACAATGCAACCGACAAGGGATTAATGTCCCAAAATACAAACAGCTCATGCAGCTCAATATCAAAAAATCAAACAACCCAATCAAAAAATGGGCCGAAGACCTAAATAGACATTTCTCCAAAGAAGACATACAGATGGCCAACAAACACATCAAAAGATGCTCAACATCACTAATTATTAGAGAAATGCAAATCAAAACTACAATGAGGTAGCACCTCACACCAGTCAGAATGGCGATCATCAAAAATTCTACGAACAGTAAATGCTGGAGAGGGTGTGGAGAAAAGGGAACCCTCTTGCACTGTTGGTGGGAATGTAAATTAATACAGCCACTATGGAGAACAGTATGGAGGTTCCTTATAAAACTAAAAATAGAACTACCATGTGACCCAGCATTCCCACTACTGGGCATATACCCTGAGAAGACCATAATTCGAAGAGATACACGCACCCCAATGTTCACAGCAGCACTCTTTACAATAGTCAGGACATGGAAGCAAACTAAATGTCCATTGACAGATGAATGGATAAAGATGTGGTACATATACACAATGGACTATTACTCAGCCATAAAAACGAATGAAATAGTGCCATTTGAAGACACGTGGATGGACCTAGAGACTGTCATACAGAGTGATGGAAGTCAGAAAGAGAAAAACAAATGTTGTATATTAACGTATATATGTGGAATCTAGAGAAATGGTATAGATGATCTTATTTGTGAAGCAGAAATAGAGACACAGATGTAGAGAACAAACGTATGGATACCACGGGGGAAAAGGGGTGGTGGTGGGATGAATTGGGAGATGGGGATTAAGACATATATACTATTGATACTATGTATAAAATAGATAACCAATAAGAACCTACTGTATAGCACAGGGAACTCTACTCAAGTGCTCTGTGGTGACCTAAATGGGAAGGAAATTCGAAAAAGAGGGGATATATGTATACGTATAGCTGATTCATTTTGCCGTATAGCAGAAACTAACACAGCATTGTAAAGCAACTATACTCCAATAAAAGTTAATTAAAAAAGAGAAGGAAACTTACCTGCCTTTATGAACAAAAGGTCTTGGAAGAGGAAGAAGGACACTGGGAGTTAGTGATGCGAGTTTATCCCATCCCCCCACCTACTTCTGAAGGGAGGGGTCATCTGGCGAGCCTCCCAGAGCTCTGCACGGGGTGGGGGGGGGGGGCTGCAAGAGCATCCCGTAAATGCACCAGTCTGCAAGGACAGGGAGAGTCTGACCCCCGGGGGAAGGTCTGCCTATCTGCTTTTTGATGAGTCCTGTTGCTGCCAAAGTGGGAAAGGCAGCTGGAGTACAGCGGCAGGGACGGCTCTGGGTCAAGCAGAGCCTGGAGGCTCACTCTGGGTGCTGGGATGCTGAGGTGGATGGGATACAGGGCACCCCAGAGGAGGTGAGCAGAAGCCAGTGGCTGGGGATCAACAAGAGAGCTCCCTGTTGGGAGGAGTGACGGAGGACCAGCGCAGAGACCACAGAGCAAGCGTACCCTGTCCTCAGCACAGTGAGGCTGCAGTGCTGATGTGATCGGACTTCGTTTTATTGGGTGGGCCCCACAGTGCCTTCGGTTTCTCACGTAAAAATAAAAGACACAGTTTTCATTTTCACCAAGAACTTTATGGAACAGCGTATTCACCCTTTTGCTCCATTACTTTCTGCCATTTTGCAGGCAACTTGATAATTCCATCTTCCCCAAACGTTTTATCTTTTTGAGCAAAGAACTGTTCCAGGTGCCTTTTACAGTCTTCCAGGGAATTGAAAATTTCTCCATTAAGAGAATTTTGTAAAGATTGAAATAAATGGCAATCCGAAGGTGCGAGGTCTGGTGAATACGGCAGGTGAATCAGAACTTCCCAGCCAAGCTGGAACAGTTTCTGCCTTATCAAAAAGTTTCTGGTTATCAAAAAACATGCGGTCTTGTATTATCCTGATGGAAGATTATGTGTTTTCTGTTGGTTAATTCTGGACGCTTTTTGCTGAGTGCTGCTTTCAGTTGGTCTAATTAGGAGCAGTAATTGTTGGAATTATTCATCTGGTTTTCTGGAAGGAGCTCGTGATAGAGGACTCCCTTCCAATCCCACCATATACACACGTCACCTTCTTTGGATGAAGACCGGCCTTTGGTGTGGCTGGTGGTGGTTCATTTCACTTGCCCCATGATCTCTTCTGTTCCACATTGTTGTACAGTATCCATTTTTCATTGCCTGTCACAACTGGTTTTAAACATGGAACGTTTTCATTACGTTTCAGTAGAGAATCGCATGCAGAAATACAGTCAAAAAGGTTTTTCTCTCTTAACTTAGGTGGAACCCAAATGTCAAAGCAAATTCACATAACCAAGCTGGTGCAAATGATTTTCAACACTTGATCTAGATATTTTGAGTACGTCAGCTGTCTCCCGCGTGGTATAACACTGATTGTTCTCAATGTCTCGATTTGATCGCTGTCAACTTCAACTGGTCTGCCTGACCGTGGAGCATCGCCCAGTGAGAAATCTCCAGCACACAACTTCGCAAACCACTTTTGACACATTCGATCAGTCACAGCACGTTCTCCATACACTGCAAAAATCTTTTTGTGCGTTTCAGTTTCATCTTTACCTTT